AGGAGGAGAGACGATAATGCCGTATGCAAATAGAGTTGGATTTTTCTGTAGCGATGGGGTCGCAGCAAAAATTTACTTTTAGCCCCTTATCTTATTAAGTTTAAAAGTTTTAACCCCTTATTTTATATTATAACATTTTTAACTCTTACCTTATTAAATTTGTAGGTTTTAACCCTCCACTTTATATTATGACACTTTTAAACCTTCACTTATTAAAATTGAAAAGAATAACTCACATTTTGTAATATTTTATTAGTTCTGTTAATTGACTGTTAATTCTATTAGTTGACTTTTAGTTGATTATTAGTTGATTGTTAATTGTCAAAAACTTTCTTTCAACTAATAAAATTAACAAAATTAATTTTTTAATATTTCATTAATTCTATTAATTAGCTATTAGTTGATTGTTAATCAGTTATTAGTTGATTGTTAATTAATAAAAATTTACTTTTTATTAACAAATTTAACCGTTAATATAAAATAAAAATTATTTTTATCCGATTTTAATAAATAAGAAGTCAAAATTTATAAATTTAATAAAATTAAAAATTAAAAATATTATAATATAAGATAAGGATAGAACTTTTAAGAGACTGAAAATAAGTTTTCGCCTGAAGTCGCCGTGTCGATATCAACAATTGGAAACATGGCCCAGAATCACGGTCGGCCCACGAGATTAAAAAAGGAGACAAAAATTACGCACAATTGGAGATGCGGGGTATCGATCCCCGTACCTCTCGCATGCTAAGCGAGCGCTCTACCATCTGAGCTACATCCCCGATGTTTGACATCTAACTTTTTATTACCTAATATTCATTACTCCTTAACTTATGACAAACGTCTCCGTTTAAAATCTATCAATAAACGTGTTGTCCCTTTACTGGTTAAAAAAATTTATCAAATACAATTGATCCTATTTATGCGATTGCAATCGTTGTGGTTGCACTAGACAGCTGTTCAAACAAGGGCAATCTAGTCTTTTCGTTTTGTCCATTGAAGGACAATCTGGTCAATAAACTCACTTTCCCAACTTAAAGACTAACGGAACATGCTAAACCTGAACGCAGAGGAATATTTTTCCCACAACAGCGTAATTGGCTTCGTTCCATCTTGACTTGAAACATCTTCAGGACCAGCAAAATCCAGCGGCCTTGGGGTATAATCACTGAAACCCGAGCTAAGAACAAATCTCCACTCCACATCTGACGCATTCGTTTCTGCAAATATCTCGCAAACTGGACTCGCCATGTTCGCCAAGCGTCTGCTGCACAAAGCTATCCACCATTCTCAGGTACGGGAATCCGGGGAAGACGATCGGGATTCTCCGATTCTTTTCTCGATG